ATGCCTGTAGATGCAGCAGAGGCATTGCTTGGCCGTGGCGATGAGGAGCTGGGGGGTGTTCACGTGCCTTGCCCGCTGGGGTGGGTGGGCACCCCCCATCCCTGCTGCACCGAGGTTCCCACTGAGCTGGGGCTCCCTCAGCACTGCTCCTCAGCCCCGGGGGCTGACGGGTGCTAACAAATGCCCTGTTCACGGCGCTCCAGCTATTGAAGACACCCCAGCCATGATGACGTCCCCCCTCTACCTGGAGATCGTCATCTACTGCATCGGGGCCTTCCTCATCTCCTGCATGGTGTTGACCATCATCATTTACAAGTTGAAGAGCACCACCAAGAAGACAGACTTCAACAGCCAGCTGGCCGTGCACAAGCTGGCCAAGAGTATCCCCCTGCGCAGACAGGTAACAGAAAGTAGAGAGGGGGTTTGTTTGCACCTACTGCCCCTCCTGAAGCCGAGCCCTTCCCGGGGAGTCTGGGGGAGGAGGGTTGGGGAGACCTGGGACCATCTCACCCTGCTGCATGTGCCACCTGCTCCAGCCCTGTGCCCACCCATGGTGCAGGATGGGTACTATCCAGGCTGTGCCCCTGACACAGCAGAGCGGGTGCGGGGGCCGTATATCCCTTTCACCTCTCCCACCTCAGCAGGGCTCAGGAGGAGAACCAGGAGGATTTACAGCAGTTTAAGTTTTGAGCAGAGCATGGTAAACACACTGAGGAGATGGGAGAGTGCCTGGGCTGTGCATTTTAGGGTGCAGCATGATGGAGATTAATTAAAGTTCCATAGTCCAGGTCCCAGGTGGGAGCAGCACTGATGCCCCCGTGCCTGTGGGCAGGATGGGCAGGGGGCTGCAGGCAGTGTTTTCAGCTTCTTCCCCCAGCGGGGGCAGCCAGCCACGGCCCCAGGCACTGCGTGAAGGTAACCCACGGTCCCACTGCAGGTGTCAGCCGACTCCAGCTCCTCCATGAACTCGGGCGTGATGCTGGTGCGGCCCTCACGGCTCTCCTCCAGCGGCACCCCCATGCTGGCTGGCGTCTCCGAGTATGAGCTTCCCGAGGACCCGCGCTGGGAGCTGCCCCGGGACAGGTGAGGTCCAGCCCTGCTGCATGTGCTCTGCCCCAAGGGTGGGCTATGGAGCAGCTGGGATGGGAGCTGGGTGAGGATGGTGGTGCCAATGCCTGTGACTGACCTGCTCCCCTTGCATCGGGGTCTCCTCCCACCAGGCTGATCCTGGGCAAGCCCCTGGGAGAAGGATGCTTCGGGCAGGTCGTGCTGGCAGAAGCCATCGGCCTCGACAAGGACAAGCCCAACCGCGTGACCAAGGTGGCGGTGAAGATGCTCAAGTGTAAGTGGCAGTGAGAAAGGGGGTCCCAGCACAATGCTGCAGCCCTCTGTGGGGCTGGGGGTGTGCAGCGTGGGGGGACGCAGCCCAGCCCCCTCCAACCACTGCCTTCTCCACTTTAGCCGATGCCACAGAGAAGGACTTGTCCGACCTCATCTCTGAGATGGAGATGATGAAGATGATCGGCAAGCACAAGAACATCATCAACCTGCTGGGAGCCTGCACGCAGGACGGTGAGGGCGCGTGAGTGGGGAGAGGGTCTCCCCTCTACCACCCCTCCACCTGTCTGCATCTGCCAGGAGGGACTGGTCCAGCACCTGCTGGGTCGGGAGCCCCTGCTCCGTGTTCCTGCCTCTCATCCTGCCGTCCCCTCAGGACCCCTCTATGTGATTGTGGAGTATGCAAGCAAGGGCAACCTGCGGGAGTATCTGCAAGCCCGGCGGCCCCCAGGCATGGAGTACTGCTACAACCCCAGCCGTGTCCCTGAGGAGCAGCTCTCCTTCAAGGACCTTGTCTCCTGTGCTTACCAGGTGGCCCGGGGCATGGAGTACCTGGCCTCCAAGAAGGTGAGGAGCTTCTGGGCCAACCTGGTGGGATGGGAAGCACAGCAGCTGTGCCTGGGGGGATGCACCCTTCCCTCCCCACCTGTTCGGTCGTGGGGAACCATCTGGAGGCTTTGGGGACCAGCTGACAGCCCTGTGCTTGGTCAGTGTATCCACAGGGACCTGGCAGCCAGGAACGTCCTGGTGACAGAGGACAACGTGATGAAGATCGCTGACTTCGGGCTGGCCCGTGACATCCACCACATTGATTACTACAAGAAGACGACGAACGTGAGTGGTGGGCGAGGTGTTTGTCAGGGCGGGGACACCAGGGATGTCTTGATCTGTGCTGGGGATGCCATGGGCATGTGGGCCTGCCCCACTCCCCTCACTGCCCTGCTCCCAGGGGGCACAGAGTCGATGTGGGGTTTTGTGTCCCAGGGTCGCCTGCCAGTGAAGTGGATGGCCCCCGAGGCTCTCTTCGACCGAATCTACACCCACCAGAGCGACGTGTGAGTAGTGCCTGTTGGGGAGGTGCACGGATGGGATTCATCTTAATTTAATGACATTATAATTAGTGTCAGCAGACAAAATATTTTGAATCTAAATTATATTTGGTGCTGGGATTTGTTTGTCGTGCAGAGCAAATTGAAGCTGTGGGTATTTGTTCCTCCCAGCAAAACAGCCTCTAACCATACCCAAACTGGGGCCCTGTGGGGTGTCAGCCCCCCAGAGCCAGTGCCCCAGTGTCTGCCCTGTGTTCCCAGGTGGTCCTTTGGGGTGCTTCTCTGGGAGATCTTCACACTGGGTGGGTCGCCCTACCCCGGAGTGCCTGTTGAGGAGCTCTTCAAGCTGCTGAAGGAAGGTCACAGGATGGACAAGCCCAGCAACTGCACCAACGAGCTGTGAGTGCAGTGCTGGGACAGGGAAGAGGGGGGACACTGGCACCCCAATACCCTTTGAGTGGGGGGACAGGCAGATACTTGGAGTTCACAGCCCTGCAAAGCCATCAGCCCAATCCATTTGCATTAATCAGCATCTCCTTCCATTATCCCTCCTCAGATGGGAATCCCAGTGTGACCCCAGTGCAGAGACCAGCCAAGCCCATGTCTACCTTCGTCCCCAAACAGCCCCTTGGTCATGAGGGCGGTTGAGGGGTTCCCTTCCCTCTGCACGGGGGATTACCCTAAATCTGTGGAATAGTGTCATCACTGGCCCTGGGTCCCAGCCTGAGCGCCAGGGCCTGTTCAGGGATGCTGCTCTGCTCCCATGGG